ACATAAGTGTAGCCATTCTGTAGCCAAGACATTGCAAAATAGGACAAAGTAAAAAGCACAAACAAAAAGATAAATGTCAAATAGTTCTCGAAAAAGTACCAAATGTACCATCATATTACCAAGGTATTCTTTGAAGTACCTTGGAGTGCCACATAAATACAATGGTAGGTGGATATGGTCTTTCAGTTCCATGGTAACACCATCTGATATCATTACTGTAGAATGGTATCACCAGTACTTTTTTATATAAAGGAGTAACAACCTTATTTGGAGTTTTGATAGAAAGTTTTGACAAATGCATCTGCACGGAATGAAAGGAATCTCAAATTAATGCTTCCAGGTGCCAAGCGAACCAAAACACACTGGGCTCCTTCCTCATCCTCTCCTCGGAGATCCCTTATAAGCACACAGATCTTAAAAATGACAGATGCATGACAGCACTCAGTAACATGCAAACATCCCAAGAGTGTATATTCCAGAATATTCTGTGACAGACACGGAGACAGCCAGTGAGAGTGAAACCGTGCTCTAAGAGTGAAGGAGCAGGTCCAGGTGTGTCTATGTCACAGATGGAGGTCAGGTCAGAGAAAATGGAGCTCAGTGGCCAAGCTGGATAGTTGCCCTTTTTTTTGTATTGCATTATGGATTATGTTAACATTTCTGCTGTCGTCGAGGCCAGAACTGAATATTTTGGATGCTGTCACTGTTTTGAGAATAAAAGGGGGAGAGATAGGCAGGAAGAGATGTAAACATTTTTTCCTTTTGTGGAGCTGGGTGGACGGGCTGGTTAATTGGGGATTTAATTAAGTGGTTAATTTTGCAGCTGTGCTCAAAACAGGAAAATCAAGCACCGAACAGCAGTGAATACAGAACACTGTAGACCTTACCAGACAAAATAACACCCTTAACACTGGAATACACTACATCTGAACCGATCTGAAAACACTAGGCATCGTACACTTGCCAAATTGGTTACACAGTAATACTGGGCATCATATACTAAACGACTGAGGATCACACAATACCAGCCTTTCACATTGTTCCAAATACAACAAACTCATGCAGAAACATGCACCTTGTTGCTAGGAGATGCGTCACAAATGAAAATAATATGTGCTCTAAAATTGGCTCAAAATATCAAACATGTTCAATATCCTCCAACTGGATGGAATAGTCTAAAGCTAAAGAGTCTCTGTTCATCATATGCTACACAATTTTTGTGAAATCTGTCAACCTAAGGCTGAAATATACTATTTGCACAGTGTATTCCAGCCTTATGTTGAATGCTAGTTGCCGAAAGTGCCCAGATTCTGGGCAGTTGGAGTTTCACAGAAAATTGCGTAGTGTATGATGGGCACAGACTATGATTTTTTAGCTTGAGACTTTGATTCCATCCAGTTGTAACATATCAAACATGTTCAACATTTTGAGCCAATTTGGGGCCCCAGGCTGAGGCACAAGTTTCTGAGTGAGTTTGTTGTTTGGTGTGACTTGAAAGTCTGGTAGTGTGTGGCCCTCAGCTGTCAAGTGTATGATGCCTATTGTTTTCAAATCTCTTTAAATTTTAAAAGTCGTGTAGTGTATTCCAGCCTTTATACCAAAAATCTGCAGATTGGCTTTGACTTTCAGCAACTAGTGTCGATGCATACAGACTGCAAATCGGAGAAAAAGTTGTGTAGTATATATTTAGCCTTTACTGACATGCACAAAGGTTTCTAGAGAAATATGACTGACAGGGTGCGAAGTACGGGGGAGCTACGGGGAGCTCGGCTCCACTTAATAAGACATGGGCTCCCCTGAAAACGTGATTTGTGAAATTTTGGGGGGTCTCAAAAAATATTGACAATGTGTTATTTTGACGTGCAATTTCAGTTTTGTGTAATGTGATCATCGTGGATTATTATGTGTAAAATTGCAAAAATATCATTCATTGCTCTAAATCAAGAAAACCACCAAACTTCAGTAGCCAACAGCAACATGATCCAAGAAAGAGGAGGAGGTACACTGTCAGAATGCTCCTAAACCTGAACACCTCTATCCTGGTTTGTGGATCACTCACGCATTGACAGCCAGGGACATTTTGCTTATGAAATAACCTCAGAGAGACCTTGCAGGCAAACTGACTGTGGACTGTTTTTTTATATTGAGGGCTAAGTTGGATGGCTGTCCAGCCCCAAGGCCGATACACTGACAGATCAGCCATGACAGCCTAAAGGAATCTGACTACTAATAATTATAAATGCTTTAAAACTAAGAATTACATCTTGCACACTTTCACCTGTCTGGTCAGCCTGGTTGTGTTCACGCAGGCAGTCTTAAAAATATACTTTGGAGTCTGGACTGCACCTGTCAGTGAGAGGAAAAGAGGACAACTTCCCAAGGAAAGGAACCATTGCGAATCAAAACCGAAAGTCATATTTTTAGAAATGATTTTTAAGTATAGGCTAAGGTGAAGGACACATAATAAGCTCAAATCAAGTCCCAAGGTGATATAGAATATTTCCTTGCTGTCCTTTCTCTCTCCGCACTCTGTTGAGGAAATAACTGAAAGTAAACACACCAGTGAATGATAAACTGCCACATGGAGAAGCACTCTCATCTCAGACGCTTTCTAACTCTTTAGGATGAGTACACCACCAATGTAACATTAGGCACCCATCTATGATCACATTCATGATATTTTCATAAAAGTTCTGAAATTAAAAAGGATGATTAGATGCTTCGATAGGGTTGAAGAGCTCTCATACCAGGTCATCTTTTAGATTGGGCAGATGGGATAAGACAGGTTGAACTACATTATTTCTACAACTACAACATAACTGGGAACACAAGGGGTGCAGAAATTGTACAACAACAAAAAAATCAGTGAAAATCAGTGCTGTGTTTGTTGTGATTTTTTGCTTTCTGACTTGCTGTAAAAGAAACATTAATAATTAATATTAATATGTATAGGGATAGCACACCCTAAAATGAACATTCTGTCAGCATTTACTCACCCTTATGTGTTTCAAACCTGTTCTTTCTTGTGTGAAACACAAAATGGAGATTCATAATGCAACTTTCAAGCTTCCAAAAACTCTATAAAAGCATCATAAAGTGGTTCATATTACATGTACACTATATTCCAAGACTTCTCAAGTCATATGATAAATTCTGTGAGAAACAGACCATAATTATGTTGTTACCCACTGATAATCTTCCCATCCATGAATGAATGAATGAATTAGTGAGTCAGTGAGCTGAACTCAAAGAAGTGGATCAATCTGATTAATGAACAAATCATTCAGACTGGTTTTGTGAACTGGATCAACAGATTCATTTAAAAGATCTCACTTTAAAAGAGTAATTCATTCACAAATTAGATGTGTCCAGAACTAGGATGGGATTTTCAGTTTTTCACACATAAGATTTGGATATAACGCATAAATCTTATGTACCACTTTTATGATACTTTCTTTTGCTTCCTTTTTGAAGCTTGAAAGTTCCTATTCATTGTAATGGCATTAGAAAAAAGTGACTAATTTTATTCTTTACAATTTCAACATTTTTGTTCCAAACAAGGACCCATATGGGTTTGGAATAACATGAGGGTGAGTAAATAACAGAATTTTCATCTTTCTTGTTTCTTGTTTTCATTTTTCCCTCTTCATGCCTCACCTCAGTCACAGGGAAGCAGTATGTCAGTGATATGAGACTAAGGGCTACAGGGACTTAATTATCAAAGCTTCACAAATGTGCATGTACACAATCCCTATGGCTACACGCGTGCGAGTGACTGACTTTGAACAAACAGTGCAAAATAATGTCACTGGTCCTGGATAAAAAGCAAAACAATTTGTGGTCTGTGCTTATAATGTATGCAATGTAGTTTAGGAGCAGATGCAGTGTGCTGGTGCAGCAGTGCTGACTGTGAAGGCAAAGCCACTTACGGGATTGTAAAGACAAGCTGTCTGTCCTGCAACCTTGAGGGTCAGAGGGACCACAGAGACAGGCCATTTGTAAGGGAATTAATGCCTGAGCCCCTGAGCAGAAGGGAAATTGTCTTCTCACACTACTTAAAATCTTTATTCTCTCTCCACACACATCCACATGGTTATCCCCAGCCACATTAACAGGCTTTAGACTAAACACAAGTGTTTAAATTAAAACCTTGTGTTCATTGTTTGACCACATAATAAATTGATTTTAAGAACAGCCTCATAAATAAATTGGCGTTTTAGCCATTAAGCAGCTTGGTCTGACTCCAAAATGCTGTTTTAAAACCCCACTGAATAATTTACATAATATTTGCAACATTTAGTTAAACTTTGCATATTTTGGGGAATGGGGAGTGTGATGTGCAGATGAACATACCTTATTCCCCTGTTTTGTTCAGTGACATTGATGGCATTTGACCCCTCAGATTTTCAAGCCAAATTGAGCAAGATCCGGATGGGACTTCTAAAATGTATCTTTGATAATGATTAGTCCAGTCCAGTCACAGATCATTTGTTTTTCATTGACAAATTTGTTAAAAAAAAAGAAGAAGGAAAAAAAAAACAGGCATTTCAGTAACAATACAATCTGTTCATCATATTGAAATACTTTTCTTTTTATATATATATATATATATGTATGTATGTGTGTGACCCTGGACCACAAAACCAGTCATGAGGGTACATTTTTTAAAATTGAGATTTATGCATGAATTATGATATAATTTACAGTAGAATTTAAATTATATAATTTTACAATTTATTATATTTATGGTGAAAAACAGTAAAAAAATCTCCATGAGTCCCTGCGTGATGTGCCATATTTTTGTATAATTAATTATAAATACTTTATTATGTACACAAAAGTATTTTAATGTTATAATTTATATTATTTAGATAATGTTTATAGCTTTAGTTTGGTGATATGTGTTATCCTCATAGTGTAGCTAACCCTGATGATAATGTATATTTTGTCAACTGCACACATGGCATCTTCTTACCTAATTTCCAACTTGTTTTCTCCAGGAACTGTAACCAGGTGTCCTCTCACAGCTGGGACCTGTCTTGAGCACCATTAGCAGTGAACATCATGTCAGAGCTGGAGGACTATTCCCCTCCTCGGGGCCACCTTCATCCTGACCCGGCTCGCATCCAGCAGAACCTCCTGGAGGAGCAGGTGGAGCTCTGGTGGTTCAGCGAGCCACGCAAATCCTTATTATGCTACTGCGCTTCAGTGGCCTTGATCTTAGGCTGTGGTCTGGGCGGCGTAGGCCTCCTTTCCACTACCACCAGCCTTTCCAGCGAGTGGCGACTGGGCGCCGGAACTGTTCTTTGCCTTCTCGCTCTGGCCGTCCTTCTCAAGCAGTTGCTGAGTTCTGCTGTCCAGGACATGAACTGCGTGCGTAGCAGGCGCCGGATCAACATGCTAAAAAGCGGTGGTTTATCTGACGTCCTCATCATGTTGATCACGGGAATCTCGCTGCTAATTTGTGGAGCTGTCCTGCTGGATGTGGCCCTTTCCTACCACATGCCCAAACCTGGGAAGGCACTGAATGACATGTATATATCCGGGGTGGTGATGCTGGTAGGTGGGAGTTTTACAGCGTTAGCGGTCGGGATTTACGCAGCAGTAGTTTTCCTCTTAGAGAGGTCAGGACCAGGACAGAGACGATGGGAGAGGACAGTGGGGATCTTCAGCATTTCAGGCCAGATGCAGGCAAGGAGAGAGACTGCTTCAAGCCTGGCTCGTCTGATATAACTGTGACTACATAATAAATATACCATTCTTTTACTGAACAGGAACTGAGATGAAAAACCAGCACCCTCAATGATACTTTGCACCCGTTAAACTAAGGCACAAATCACATGTGATATTTACAATTACATTTTGATTCACATTTTGGATCAAGGATCCTGGCATTAAACATTTGAGGGTTTAAGCACAAACATTCAGCTTTTACATGTGTCACTCCAATAAAGTACAGTTAAAAGTACTGAAAAAGCACAAAAATAATCTCAAGTTTGACCTTTAATTGATTTTAGGTAAAACATGCTGCTTTATCTCCAATGCTTTTGGACAACTACAATATGTGCATGTCCTTGACTGCTTTATTTATGTGGGCAACTGTGAGCATACCAAGTGGTTGTCCATCATGGGATGTCTTTAGCTTTTCAGGAGCTCTGATGTGTGAGCAAATTGACTGACTGTGTCAGCTGAATTCACATATGTGTGGATTTATACTACAACCTGTGCAGGCAATGCTATGGATCAAATAAAGGATCGGAATGTCAATCTGCAGGATGTGAACGCATTGTGATTTTATTGGTGTGTGTGTGTGTGTGTGTAAATGTTTCTAATGAAAAGAGGGATATTTTTCTTTGTAGAAACAGTGAAGTTGATCTACACTTTGATGCAAATTATTGGTATTTTGTTCTCGAGTGCTTATGAAAAACATTCACAAACAGATGGAGATAAACAGATGGCAGGTTGTAGCCATTTAGTGGAAATCTATTTCAATTTGTATGCATAATAAAAAAACATTCAGGCTCTGCCTTGACAACTTTGGAGAAATTACTTTGGAAAAGCAGGCAGCAACATAAAACTTTGGATACACTTAATATACACGTGAATGTCAATACATTTCATAGCCCAATATCAAACCAAGTGGCATTTGAAAACATCTCACTCACACTTTTCACACAAACCATTTAGAAAAAAAGGTGTATACGGTTTAAATTATAAAACAAAATTTTAAAAAAGTATTGTGACTCACCTTAGTAGACTATGTCCCTAGTTAATGCAATGAGCTACACCTGTGGTTACTCTGGTACGACTCCTGTGTGAACTTAAGGGGAGGCTACCTCCACATTAATCTGGATTTACATTTATTCATTTATCAGACACTTTTATCCAAAGCGACTTATAATTGAGGAGCTAAATTTACATTAAAAAAAAAAAAATCTATTTTTGTACAGCAAAAAACTTACCTTTATATAGGTTCTACCGGCATTGTTGTGCATGCTATTCACTTTCGTAGTGTTACTAAACAAATGTTACTTTGTACAATCTTCTTGTTATGCTCCTGCAAAGAAGACAGAATATGTACTTGCAATTGCTGTCCTGTGGTAAAACAGCTGATGACAGTTGCATTTTAGACCATACATTAAATGGCTGTTTTAAGTTGAACCTGCATGCACCAGTGAGTGGTGGGATTTTGGATACAATGATTGTGCGTAGAATAGCATGATAATTTTATCTTATTATATCTGGTCTCTCTGTATCATATCAGTGAGTGTAAATTACATTTTAAGCATGTGCAGCAAGGTGATTTAAGGGTTTTCAAATGTGTCAGTATGGAGCAACTTCTGGAAAACGCTTTAAAAAACGCTAGTTTGGACGTACCCTGACTTCATGCATCACAAACATCCACTAAAAATTATCCTGGAACATAATGGTTAAAAGTCATTGCAAAAGAGGCTCAGATAAGTGAACTTCTAAGGAAAGGCCAAGCACATTTGATTGCATTACAGTATGCTACTTGGGTTGTTATTTAGTTTTATATGCACTGACATTCATGCATTGTGGCCTAGGTGTCCAAATACTTTTTGGGGACACCATAGATTGGATTTAGCTTAAAGAGTCATCATGAAGCAAGATTCAATGTGTTCTCTTTGCAAAGCAAACATTAGATTTTCCAAAACACTACTAAGTATTATTTTTAACATGAAAAAGAAAAACATGAACAGAAAGCTACAGGTTGGTTAAAATGTTTCAGCTTGGTCCTTTCTGCATGTGTAAGAAATTGTGTTTGAGAAACCGTGCAGCTGAGTCATTCATCCATAGCCCATCCTGTGAAGACAGAAGTAAGTTCTGATAGGGCCAGTAATGGGCTGAGGGACCGTTATCATGGGCTGGGTGGTGTTGGCCAATGGCTTTTCTTACCCACAACAAGATGGCTATTGTGCAACAGCTGCTCAGTCACCACGTAAACAATAGCTGACTCTGTGACCCATTGTCACCCGTCTACTGGCCTGTCATGTGTTGAGACTGATAAGAATGAAGGCGAGCAAAAATAGCAATGCATACAACACCCGTATTCGTGGATCATTGAAAAAGAAACTATTTTATCCATTACTCATAGTCATACCCCTGCATAAAACAGCAATTTATTTCAATAGCTGGAATATCCATAGGTAAATAAACAAAAAATAAGTATTTCCATACAGCACAGAAAAGAATCACAAAAACGCTTGCCAAAACAAAAATCTATTTATTTTCCCACAATGACCTTTAGTATATTATTGAGGAAAAAAGTTGTCAATAAAAAAAGATCAAAAATACATATTTCATATTCAGTGTGAAATAAATATCAGATGTTGTCACGCCATTGACCTTTGGTAAATAAATGAGGGAGGAAGCCGTTTAGACGTGACAAATAATATATTCTGCTGCCTCTGCAGAGGTGGCAGACAGTATTCCACACACACACACACACACACACACAACCGTCGCACTGATAAAACAAGTGGTGCAGTGCATGCTGAATGAAAGAAACTCTGAGAGGATTTTCCCACCAATTACATACAAAAAATTATGTGTGATCAGATGTGTTGATTGCTGTGGATTAAAGAAACAAATGCAATCATAATTATTACAGCACATCAGTTATTTGCTGATCGGTTCATGGTAAAGTCATTAAGCATTTCCACTTTCCATTGTACTTTTAAAAGTGTGTAGGCATTTGTGGTATTTTGAGTGAGCACAAACCAAACCAAACCAAAGACAAAGATACGGGCCGCTCTGGTGAAAATATAGTGTTACAGTGGTGTCCTAACAGTATGCTACACTGCCTTATTAATCATTGATTTTGAGCACAAGGTATTCATTTCATTGGGCCTGTGGTTATGTTTACAGCTCTACAGACATAAGATCATATCACACTGAGAGATATTCGCCACCTACAGCAGAAATGAAAATAAGCAGATTAAGTGAACATCTGACAAGTTAAAGGGATAATTCAAAAATGAAAATTCTGTCAAAAAAAAAAAACACCCTAATGTCGTTCCAAACCAGCAGTTATTTTAGTATCATTGTCTACATTTACATGTGCACCAATGATGTGATTATTTCCAATAATCAGAGTAAGATGTTTACATGCCTGTTTGGAAGACATATTTTACTACAGTTATGGTTGCTACGATTATGAGCTTAATCGCATCAATTTGATCAGTGTATTGTGTTTACATCAGGTAAAGTTTAATTACAATATTGTTTAAATCTCTTTATGAGGGTAGATATAAATGTAGTCATTGGTATACTATTATATTTTTTTGTTAATATTTTGAATTAATTTAATTAATTTATTCATTAGTCATTTGGTAACACTTTACAATAAGGTTCATTAGATAACATTAGTTAACTACTTTAGTTAACATGAACTAAGAATGAACAATACTTCAACGGCATTTATTCATCTTAGTGTTAATTCCAACATTTACTAATGCATTATTAAAATCAAAAGTTGTGCTTGTTAACATTAGTTAATGCACTGTGAACTAATATGAACTAACAGTGAACAACTGTATTTTCATGAACTAACATTAAGAAAGATTAATAAATACTGTAATAAATGTATTGTTCATTGTTTGTTCGTGTTAGTTAACACATTAACTAACATTAACAAATGGAACCTTATTGTAAAGTGTTACCAGTCATTTTTATTAGTTTTTATGTCTATATAGTTTTAATAAGTTTTAGTTCATTTAGATTTAGTTATTTTAGTGCTTCAACTTTAAATGAAAATGAGAAATGTTGCTTTGGCAACTAGCTGAAATAAAATGATTTATTTTATTTTATTTCCGTGAACGTTTTACTTTATTTCAAGTAATGCATTTTTTTTTATGGTTTTAGTTCTAGTTTTAGTTAACGTTAATAACCATGAACCTGTCTTTTATTTTCTTTTGTTGAATATAAAATATGATATTTTGATTGTTTCAACCGCTTTTGTCCATACAATGAAATTAAATGGGGTTCAAAAACAATAACAACACAGAATCTTACTGACTTTTATTGTATGAATAGATTCTCGTGTGTTTAAATAAAACAAAGAAATACAGATCGGTTTGGAACGACGTGTGGGTTAAAATATCTCTTTAAATAGAACATATATAGGTAGATTCTAGGACGTTTCTGTAATAAGACATTTGGATTATAACCCAAAATCCATTGTTTCATAGGGGTTTCTCAGTAACTTTGTGATCTGACTTCCTTGTTTAATTTGTAAAACCTGATCTCAGACAAAAGCAATAGCAGTCCAACTGCTGTGTGAAAAGCAGTAGCTGTCTCACAGATGAAAAAGGACAGACAGAACACACAACATACACAGGTGCTGTCCTCTCTCAGTTGGTCCTCAGTTGATAATCTGTCAAAAACGTTCAAGTAAAGTCAGAAATACAACTAATACATCATATATATATATATACATAAAAAACAAGTGCATGAAAGTTTAACTGAAGGCATTTGAATATGTTATTGACATTTGGGTGTTTGGATATATCTGAAGAATTCCATTGTGGTTTAAGATCTGATGTCTGCTTTGCATTTCTTATGAATAAGTGAACAGGGCTGAAGGATTAGAGTGACTCTCTCTCCTCTGGTGTTGCTGATGGAAAACTGATAGTCTACACTATTTCAAACTGTGTGTGTGTGTGTGTGTAACAGACAGAGTAAGGCTCACGTTCACTGAACTTTTAATGCAGGGTGAAGGTAAACTTTATATCAGAATGATATCTGAGTAAGCATGAGGGAATTTCTGAATATGTCTCACCTCCACTCTGAGTAATATAACGCACCCACGGTAATGCCTGATATCCGCTCTTCTCGATAATCTTCAAGTATCGCACCTGTGTTTATTACCACACACAAACAAAATGGATTACAAAAATCTATCTACTGCATTGTGACCATTATCAAAGACTATTTTGGGGTAAATAGTTGTTTTGCCGCACCTGAATGCCTGACACTGTGAAGTAAGGAATCTCAAACTTTACTGTGATTGGTCGCTTGGCCTCGAGTTCACCACTTTCCACACTTGGCAGTCCAAAATGAGCTCGCATCATGAACTCTTTCCCACCCTTCAACAAGTAAAGACACATCATTAGTTTTTGACACATCTAACTGTCTAATTAACACCGCAACAATCATCACTTTAGTCATAAATCCTAATTAACAGTTCAGTTCTAAATAAGCCTTCTGAGTCATATTCCTAAGTGGGTGATACAAACTTTCCTGTCTCTACAAGGCTTGCAACAGCATAAAACTCCAAAACCGATTCATGGCCTTTCAAGCCTCAAATGCCCATGCCATCATCAGGACTGGAAGAAAACTAAATGTCCCACATGTCTGTATTCTTAGATTTAAATTTTATTTTTTTAAATGTTTTAGTTTTTTTCCCCACTATCTATACGTTATAATAAGGCATAGAATTATTAAGTTCAGTACGTCTTGGCTTGTACTATTTTTGATGTCCTATTTCAGACTAAATAAAAAAAGGTTCATTTTTTGGCAAACACTTTATTCCATATATTTTGTATACATGCTCCTTTGGCAAACTCTTTATTTTACTCTATATTTTGCATTCAAGCTCTATACTGTTTTTATGGGCTTTTGCCTTTAATTGTTAAAGAAAAGGGAAAGAAAATAAATGAAAATAAACAAAATAAATACAAAATTAAAAACGATATAAACCAAAAATAAATTAAATTAAAATGTATACATCAAAAATTCAAAAGCAATATAAAAACTAAAAAAATTATATTAATAAAATAAAAATAAATTGAAATATATATAAAAAAATTGCAAGCAATATATAAATTGAAAAAAAAAAAATTGCCAGTAATAGCAATATTTTTAGAAGGCTCTTAAAAGTGTGAAGTGGACTTGCATTTGTTGTCTCTGTGAAATCAGCAACAATTTGAGGTGATCGATTATCTGATTTGTTGTTGTTGTTTTTTTCATTTCAAAATAGGATTTTCAAAAATCTGAATGTTGGATTAAATAACTTGGAGTTATTTGCAGTGACAAAGATCAAACATCTTGCAAAACATATGTAAAGCATGTATGGTACTTACAGGGAAGGACTTAATGTTCCATTCTACAGCACTCTTCTCAGGAAGCCATTTAGCCTGGCCCGTGGTGGTCTTAAATTTGGGGGAGTCAGCGTCACTAGGAACAGGCACTAAGATGGACACATTGTTGGCAGTGGAGCGGCTCTTGAACTGACTGCGGGCCTGGAGAACAGATGGAGGAACTATAGCACAACTACACATTCGAAGTAAAACTTCCAAAGCTACACTTTCAGAAACTAAAGTTTGGGTATGGCAAGGGCAATAGGACAAAGCATATTTATGTCAGAATCTGACAAGTCTCTTGGACACAGCTCAGGTAAACTTCGAGCCATTCGCCAGGACAGAAGCCTGAAAGCTAATTACTGAAAGCAAGGAGTGTGCTGGAGGAGGCAAAGCAAGAATCAGTGGAGTGTGTAGATTGTGTATATGTGTGCAGCTCTACCTTAACCTTGATCTCTACTCGACTGTGAGAGAACTTCTCTATTACGCTCTCAATCCATATTAGAGGCTTCACCTGTCAGAACACAGGAGTGACAGAGAAAAGAATAGAGCAGTAAGTCTGTTGCCACTTATTGAGCCACTGACTTGCCTTTTTGACATGTAATCTTCTTAAATTAAATACAGTAATACTTCCAACAGCATAACATCATTTCAAAATGTAGTATTACAATATAATCCATTATATAGAATATATATTTTTGTGTGTGTGTGTGTGTGTGTGTGTGTAGACAGTAAAATTAATTAATTATTCATTCCATATTATTAGATATGGACTGTATATATACATATATATTAGATGAAAAAAAAAAGAATGTTGACTTGGGAGCTAATTAAAATATAATAAGTTGAAGTTAAATTACTAAAACTACTAAAAATAAAACTGAAAAAAAAATAAAGCTAAATAAAATATTTTATGAAAAAAAGACCAAAGAACAAAATTGGTAAAACTTAAACTAAACTGAAAATATCAAAACCACTGCTAATTCAAAACGTAATAAATATTATAATAGTATATAAATAATTCTAAAATAACATTAAAATACTCCACAAATTTTCCATTTGTGATTTAAAACTTCATGCATCACAGGGTTAAAATGAATAAATAAATAAATGAAAATAAAATGTAACTGATCACTTTATAATGTGAAAATGTGTGTCATATCAACATTAACATTATTACAGAAAAGTCTATTTCTGTTGTCCTCTTAATGTCCGATAATTGAATCTTAATAAATAATAAATAATAATAAATAAAAACAACTTGCAGTTCCAATCTTGAGCCTGTGGAGGGCAGTGTTTCTCTTGTTTAATTCTCATTCCATTGCTGAGCTGAGAAGAAATATTTCTGCAACTGATGCAATAACAGAATGGCACCTTCTACCTTCACTTGTGTTTACAATAGCTTGCACCATAGTTCAGCTTTAAAGTGGGAAGTGGTGCAGGAAACAACCAGGTCTTTTTCACTTCCCCGAAACCCTATCTGATAAAACAGTTTCCTGTAGAAGTAAAATGAAAGGGTAGCTTGTAATGTCCATGAAATGTTGGTGAGGTCAACAGCTACTGCACCATAGGATCAAATTGATATGTATTTATTTGAACAGAAGAGCATCGCTCAATTAATTTAATATTGATTCCCTTTCTGTTGTAGAGTAAATCCGGAGCACTTCTGTTCTAAAATGCAAGCTGCATTTATACCGCACATGCAGAATACATAACTGAGATCTGGCCTGCTGTGAAACTAACACCCGCTGGGTTAGGCCTGGGGTGAGGATTAACCAAGAGAATCAGATTAATGGAATTCACCTAACAAGTGCAAATGAGAGAGATGCTTACTATAAAATAGGTTAGGACAATCGACTGACTGCTTGACTAGCAGCCCTCGAAATTAAGTCACTTTCTGCACTACTTAAAAAAAAAAGAACCCAACAAGGTCATTTTAAAGTTGAAACGAGGCATTTTGGAAGCCATTCGTTTCACTGAAAGGAAATGGAAAAATAATGACTGGAAAACTGGTAAATATTAACCTTGCAATCTTCTTGTAAACAGATTTAATTGTGATATTGATACATTTTGTGGTTTACATGTAAAAACATGTTTTTGTTTTGGAGTTGTTGGTCAGATTTCTATTCATTTATTAAGGATCACATCATGCCCAGCTTTTAACCGTTTTTTCCCTCTATGACAAGTCTTATCATAAGAAACCGTATTTAATTAATCTGCTACTTTAAAATGTACATATGGGGGACTAAGCCATTGCTTTTCATTTTAAAGACAGAAGTTCAACAATACCTAAAAGCAATTTTGAAAATGTTTGAAAAATATGAAAGCTGTACGATTTGTTACTATTTGTAAACATGTTAATGTTTTTAACTTTATTTCTATCTTTTGATCTTCTTTCTGTCTTTACAATTATTATTTGTTGTTTATTCTAATGTACCCTGGCTGTATTTGTAATTCTTTAAAACCAGTAAAAACAGACTGAAAAAGTTTTTTTTTTATATGCCACTGATCAGATAAACAGCTCACTATATTGTTGCTACTGCCACCGAGTGGAGATCAACCTACAAATGGTTAACTTACTGCATAGTTGTCTCTTTATATGAAATTGTGAGAACAATTTTAAGTCAAAAAATGATATCTTTCAGTTTTAAAGATGGATAGGTATACTCACGGCCTGTGATCTCGAAGAGAACTTTGTCATTGAGTCCAAGCCTTAACTCAGGCATGCCTGACAGAACGACATTGATTTTGATGCAGCCCAGAATCTCGCTACGCAGGACACTGCCTGTAGCACTGACCTATAACGAACAAAAACAGAGAAGATAAATGCAAAGCACAATCAAGAGTGGCAAGGTGCGATATTGCATCATCACCATTACTGCCATCTACAATTTATTACGCTCTGTCGGGCAAGGCAGTAACCGTGTGATTTGTGCCATAATGCTCTTGGAAAGAGAGGGCTGAATATGCTGCGATAACTACGGATATGAGAATGTAATATATTATATTATGGTAAAATATTAAAAGCATACAAGCTGGACTCAGAAGGCAGATCTAAACCTCAAAAAGTCCACATCGATTCAATACCACTGAGGGCTCTCAGATACAAGAGCCAGAAAAAGCCAGAGCGAGAAAGCTGCACGGATGAATAGCAATGCAGAATTAGAAAGCAATGAGACATGATTTAGCTCTTAATCAGAAGAGTGGTGTTGCTCAGCGCTACTGTCTGCCAGCGTTTAGACCCCCCCGACCCTGAGGAGCTCTAATGAATCCATCAAAAGCCAGTCCATTCGGGGGGCTCAGAGTTAAGAAGCAGAAAAGAAAGGTAACAAGAACTTAAAGACGGCAGCTGCTTCCTCCCTCTCTCGATCTAAGGAAGTCTGGAGACCTAACCCTTGACCCTGGAGAACATGAAGGAGGTCGGCTGAGGTACAGTAGGATGATTGAGCATAGCGTTTGCTGTTTGATGTCTGCACTGAATACGTAAAACCGATCCAGTATGTGGAAAGCTTTTTTTTTTCCACAACAAGAAAAAGTAATGTGGTCAGTTTTAAATTGCGGTATAATATAGGTTACTTTTACTTTTTCAAATAAGTAATGCATGTTATGCCATTTTTATTTATTGCAATTTATTTACTTAAAACTGTTATTTTTTCTTTGCATTTACATGATCAAAAATACAGTAAAAACAGTAATATTGTGAAATAGTATTATACAAAACAGGAATATTTAAAACTGCTTTCGATTTTAGTATATTTTAAAATGTAATTTATTCCTGTGATGGCCTAGCTAAATTTTCAGTATCCATTACTCCAGTCTTCAGTGTCACATGATCCTTCAGAAGTCATTCTATTATGCTGATTTGGTACTCAAGAAACATTTTTTATTATTATTAATCTTAAAAAACAAAATGTGCTGCTTAATATTTTTGTGGAAACTGTGACAATTTTTTCAGCACTCTTTAATGAGTAGAATGTTCAAAAGAACTGAATTTATTTATTGTTAATCTAAAAATCTTTGATAGAAATCATTTGAAACAATATACTGTCAATTTTGATCAATTTAATTCATCATCCTTGCTGAATAAAATATTGATTTGTTTTTAAAGCGTACTGACCCCAAACTTTTGAACGCTAGTGTATAAATAAATTTCATGCACTGAAATTTGATAATGGGTCAAGAGTAATTCATTGCACAGATGCATTATATAATAATTAAAATTAATATGAGGCACATCTATGATGACTGTGATTTTACCAATGAGAATGTATTCCTGAATTAACATCTTTTGTTGGTCCTAAAACCTCTAAAAACTATTAAAAACCCCAAACGTCATAAGGAAATCATAGGTTCAAAAGAATGATGTTGAAGCCCAAGCCCTAACCCATATCCAAAAATCTGATTGGTTGACTGAGGAATGTTGTCGCTACAATACATTTAAGTCAGCTCACCAATAGGTTGACAGACTCAATGACATCCATGAAGACTTCATTTTTTCTATATTTTATGCCTTCTGACCTCCAAGACACAGCATTGGTTACTGTAGCCGGGGGTCGTGGCGCTCCCACCTCCAGTTTATGCCCCTGTTGGGTGATGTACCTGGTGTGGAAGTGAAAGAAGGCCATCAGGACATGCTAACATAAATAATGACCAAGAAAATGACAAGTAGCATAAAAAAGACTAAATATTATATGAGCCCACCAGTGCATGTCAGCCATTATCAATATGATGAGCATCATTATTTGTCACTAGTCAGTGAAGCAAGTAACTTCAGTGAGTGTGTAAACAGACCTCTGCTGCTTATTAGAACTCATGGGAAGAACATGGCTGCCCCTTGGGACAGACAGGCTGACAAACACCTAACCTTGTTTTTCTTTTTTTGTATTGCCAACGTTTTAATGTAATGTTTATCTTACCACACGTCTTTCATCTATTACACATGAAAAACACAAATTAAAATGGAAATGAATGTGAACACTAACATTACACATATAATAGAGTTAGTGTTCAATCATCACTGATGAACATTAGCATCTGAGTAAATGCACCAAAACAAACCACTTAATGTTCAATAAATAAGTTTCCTAATTAATTCCAAATTGATTCCGCAAGAATGTTGTTTTCAGAACAAGGTCTGAGAAGTGTAGATGTGTATGTGTGTGCGCTCTAACCTCAAGTTTCTCCAGCTGACAGGGTATTATGTTGCTGTCAGTAAGAGCTAGCAATAATTAGCTATCTGCTAAGTGGCTGCTAGCAAAGCCAGCAAACTAAGAAGAACGTATAAACATGAAAGATTTTTTTAAAACTGACTTACATTATGATTGTACTATTTTTTTTCTTTTTAATATTTACCTGACAAGAAATTGTTTATTGTGATGTTGTTATATTCTTTAGTTTGAATGTTCAACTTGTTTATGTTTTGTAAATAGTACTTTCCATTTCTTTAAGGGTAAACATTTTTAATTAGCTAAATTACCATTTTAGGTTTTGAATATTGTTTAATCTCCTAAATAGGTAAATTACCAGGAAGTGCTGTCATCTGCTGAAAGGGATATATCAGCAATAAATATTTCAGTTATTCCTCTTCAGTATGAATTTTCAAATGAATTTGTAAGAATTGTCCACAAATTTGACTTTAAATTTTTTTTATTTATGCTTAGATACTACAGTATATTGATTTCTCTGGTCCAGTCATCTCTATGAGTATTATAAAACACAGATAACTGTATTTTGTCAAACTGTGCCCTCTGCACAAAGCATATACACTGACTTATGAATAGGAATGAGCTTGAATAGTGAATAGTGACCCCTAATAGCACTGTTAGTGAGGGATGAATAGTGTTCTCTGAGCAGTGATGGCTGAATGGTAAGTCTGTCAGAACTTACTCTAGTAAGATCTTGCTGTCAGTGGTCTGAGGGAATCCAAAGTCCATGACTTCATCCATTAGCTCATATACGGTCACAAAATTGTCTCGAATACTCTCTTCTTCCAGTGACTTGAAATATTCAATGAACACCTGCAAGCAAATGGTTAATACAAGACTACTATTTTAAATGTACACAAATTTCGTAATATTATAATGAGGAAATGCGCTACGGCACATTTTTAGGGTGTTGATGTTTACACAGGCAACAAGATTGTGCTGTGTAAAGTTTTATGGAAGGTGTTGTCATGTTGATAGATTACCTCCACTAATTTGTACAGGAAGGAGTATACAAGAGCAGCATTGGTATTCCTCTTTGTTATTGCAACCACTGAGTAAAATGTGTTAAGTAGTAAATACGCTACACATTTGCAGAGCTGTTACTGTACAACAATAGGACAAATATTCACAAATAAAATATTTTAATATAGACAAATAAAGGTTATACTTTTACATTTAAATATAAGAAGATAGAGGATACAGTAGAGGTTGCTATGCTTTATCCAGAGGTAGTGGGTAGAGCCGTGAATAACCACTGGTGACAAATCTGCATCTTCCTCTCTCTTCATCATTATGGGCATAAAGTTGTCGATCTCACTCATGTCCACATTACCCATGTAGTTTCGACATATGAGCACCTTAGAGATGGAAACAAAGTTGAAAGCACAAGGATGTCATAAAACAGAGTATCCCAATTCTGCTCCTTAAAGACAGTCATCACGGCATCACTAGTTTATCTGAGTGCAATCCATATAAAGACATGTTCTTTTTGGCTATATTAATACAACAAACAAAAGCTCATTTAAAAACTCTGGAAAACCTTGAGGTTCTCTCAGCAAACAGAAAGAATATTTAATTTTTCTTAAAGAAGTTTTGGCACCAGCCATCATGCAAAATGGATTCCTTACGGCCTCAAAAGCAGTAAACACTTGTAATGATTTCTCAGGCCAAAAGGACACTTACAGCACAAGGTTTGTTT